GATTGGTTAATCATAAATAACGGTTAATTAACCAAATCTAACCAATGTTAATTAACATAAATAACGGTTAATTAACCCCTATTCCTATTGTTACCCATCTTTTTTTTTTACGTTTTGTATAACTTGTGCACTAAAAACATGTCTGATCCACTTTCAATTCTAAAAGGAGAAATAAAGCGTCTCAGACGAAAAAATAAGTTTATTTGGTTACTTCACTAGAAATGAAAAGAACTAAACTGATGTGTTATCTCTTCTTAATGACTGTGATAATAAAGAAAAATGAGGTCTCTAATTTCCTCACCTGGTACGTTGCTTGAGACATAAGTTAATGTTGCTTAAACTCTCATTTTCTGTTATAATACCGAATACTTACTTATTCTTGTGCTTTTCTTTTCTGCTTCTTATCATTAAACCCACCCAAAAAACATATTCGCGTTATCATAGATCAACCTGTTGCTGGTAAGTGAGTCGTAATAAGCTTTTCAACGCAGTAAACGCGTCTTAGCTTGATTTTTCTTTCACAATAGGATATTCCAAATATATACTGACTTTTTCACCATCGTTTTCTCTTTCATTATATAAGGAATAGTCTGGCATAGCAGGACTCCAACTTCAAGGTAATTGATTGTTTTGGTATACACGAATATTTTTATGAAATTTCTGAATAATCTTTACTCACATCTCATCTTACTGCAAAAAAAGCCAAAGAAATATGGGTACGCTATAATGATGAATGCGTCTCTATCAAACAAAATAGTCTGGAAGATTTAGCGGTATCTTATGTGGATGATCTGAAAGGGATAATCAAAAATCAGTTTAAAATATCTAACGTTTTCCTCACTTGTTATCATTAAATGATGAAAGTTCTTCAAGTGATGAGGAAGAAGAAGGTAAGAATGTATAGTAGAAACTTTGGTGCATTTTTAAGCAACTAGTTAATCAGTGCACATCTTATAATTTTTTTTGCAGATGTGAGTCATGTTGAACCAAATCGTATTGAAGAAGCATTTCAAGTTGAATACCAAGTCACAACCTTAGAAACTTTCTATTCGCGACTAAAACAATTTCATGATGAATGGTACAAGCAGATAAAACCACACTGTTGGAGCTATTTAGTCGTGGGATTGTGGAAGTGGGAAAAAAAGGAGAACTTGTCAATTGAATCTTATTTTTAAAAGCTTATGCAGATGCTGTGAAGGAATGTTTCCCTAGTTCACCATTAACATGTTTGCAAAAAGTTCCTCTGAAGTCATTTTTAAAGTCCTTATTATGCGAAAAAATAGATGGTCTTGATGAGTTATTTCACTCGTTCTTGGCCACTTGATACCCAATGGGGTAAGAAGACTAACTTAAAAAGGGAGGATGCAATAAAATCATTTTTGCCTCTTGTCTTCGAACAGAAGGTGTTGTTGGTTGATAAAGTGCAGTTAATATAACATGAAATTAATTCTAATTATTGACAAATGTAATATATTAATACTTAACAGCTGTAAGGCTTAATAAAGTCATATAATAAAGCATTAATTTGTTCGCCTATATTTTTTACATTTCCAATGTACAGTAAATATTTACAAAATGATTATGTATTTTTTATTTTCAATATACAGTACAAATTGCATACCAGTAATACCATACTATATATGCATATGTTAAAAAATATAAATCATAATCCCAAAGTTTATTAAATCTGGATTGGCAATCGGAATCAATTCCTGCCTTAATGAAAAAAATGCCAAAAAAATCACATGACTGATCGTTCCCTGAGGGAACGGTTTTCTATATGCTGTTATCTAGCTTAAATGTTGTGCTATACCTTTAAAAACAGAAAATTATATGCTCCATCACAAATCGTAATGGTATGACACTGAGCTCACTAAAATCAAGAATATAAAGCAAGAATTAACAAAGGAATTATTAAGGGTCATATGGAATCGATCACCTGAAAAAATGCATAGTACAATATTGGGAAAATTCTTGCTGATAGAATAGGAGTGCGAAATGCATATCAGATATTGATATGTGCCACATATTTCTGGACAATTATAATTTATAAATTATCGTACAAATAATTGGGACTAGGGTGTCCAGAAATATGTGGTGATGAACCTCAAAAATATGTATGTGAAAAAAATGAAATATGTGATAATATGTGTTTATAATTCTGGTAAAAATTATGTGAAATTTACT